AAAATATCACCTTTTTTATGAGGCTATGACAAATCTATGAATTGTTCCTTGTGTCATTCACTGGTGCAATATGACCTTTTTATGAGGCTATGACAAATCTATGAGTTGTTCCTTGGTGTCCTTCACTGGTAAAATATGACCTTATAAAATTTTGTACATAAATGAATTAAATTCAAAGAAATCTCATTTCTTGTCAAATTTTAGCCAAAGAAAAGATTTTCAAAAACAATTTTTGGCAGTTGAAGAAAAGTCAGTGCCACTATAATGTTATTTCTTATATTTTATTTGTTGATGGATGTGTTGCATTAAATTGAGTGTTGTGCTCAAAACTACAAGAAAAGACACTACTGAGATCTTTGCGAAAGAATCTAAAATTAAAACGGTCGTTCAAATCTAGAAGCAATGCTTTATGTTTATTACATATATCTCAAAGTCTGTACTCTCAGAATAGTAAAGTGTCTTATCCAATAAGAAATGTCAATTTAGAAATTCTCCATGCCCGTAATTTCAGATTTCCATCTAACCCTTATCTCAAACGAAGAATAAGAAAACAAACAGTTAAAAATTATCCAACGAAGGAAGAATAAATCATTTTCCGTCAAAATTGGTTGTGTATCGATCACGTTTTGTTTACGAAGCACTCGAGCCTGAGATTTGACATTTGTAGGTTATTGTAGAAAGAAAGAAATACGGCCATTACTGAAAGACCATTACTTGAAGGGAACGCAGATTTACGAGACATATCAGGAAATTGCAACTGGTGCCATTAACTGTAATATTTTTAGTTAAATGGAACTGTGGATTATTGTGTTAGTTGGTTATTCAGCTTGCAGTATTTGGAGCGGACCTCCATTGCGCGTCATTAATTCATAAAATACTGGGAATTATTAAACGTTAATGATGATCGTTATGTAACAGTCAAATTTCCATGATTTGCGACAGAATTTTTTTGGGTTTTTTGTTATGATTAGTTTGGTTCATTATCGCAGTCCATATTTGCATAATAATTACTTAATTATTGTAAAATTGTTCTGCTGTTGACAGTTAAAATGCTAACGCAGTAAAATTGATTAATCGTAGGATGAAATTATTAATTGATACTTGTTATTTTGATGTGGTGCATTATTATTTAATTAGGTCAGTCCTTTTGTCTTTAATTTAGCCCCAGCCTTTTTAAATTTGATTAACTGACATGTCTTGTTTTAACCTTACAACTGTCCATTAGGAGTTTAACAAATTTTGATATAAAATTATCACGATATATTGGCTTTCAATATTATTGCATTGGCTGAACTCGTGCTCTGGTAAATTCAGCGTGGCTTACTGCTGTGATCCGGAGGTTTAACTACTAACACCACCACCAGGCCTTGTGATTGTAACAGTAGAGACTGTCCAGATCATATCAATGTTCCCGTTGGCTAGACTCGGCATTGGTGGCAAGAGTTGATAAATATTGTCGCAAGCACTTTCAAAGTTTAAAAGGGTGGTGGCTTAAGTAGCCAAGTGGTTATAGTTTTTAAATTTCAGTCTTTTTCCTCAGACAGATTGGCAGCTGTTTTAACCAATTATTTGCTCTGATAATCATTTTAATTTTTTCAATTTTGTTTAAGCTACAAAAAAAACAATATTTTTTTTAATACAAAAAAAAAAAATTCAGAAAATGTTCTTTAAAATTTAAGCAAGACAGTTTTCCTCAAGACTGGATCAGACTATTATAGTTTTTTGTTTTGAGTCAGTATAGTAGTAATATATGTGCCTCATTAATGCCTCCCCCATTCCTGTAATTGTGTCTAACCCTCTAAGGACACCAACCTGTCTGGTAAGTGTGAACTTTTGATGAGGGTGCCAGAAATGAGATTTTGTTGTCACACAATTTGTCTTTGATTCTCCAGCTCTCTCTTCACTTTCTCTCTCTTTTTCTTTTCTTCCCTGAGAAAATGGACATAATTAGAGGCCAGAGAGATTTATATAGCAGATTTTTTTATTTTATACATGTAAATCAGGCATACTGCGGGTTTGAAATAGTGGCCAAACTGGTGATTTAGTATACATGATATAGTCAGGTTTTGTTATTTGGGATTCTCTTGTTTTTGAATAGCATTTATATTATACCAGTTTGATTGTGTCAGAAACACTTGAATCAACCCGTACTAAGCAATGAATAGCCTTTGGTTTTCTTCTTCAAGGAAATTTCTGGTAATGTGGCATACATGTTTGCCATGATAAAAAATTTTTATATGCATGATCTGTGTCTGGTATACAGCAAAGGCCAAGTGCGAGCTTGGGAGGGGTTGAAGTTGAGAAGAAAAACGGCTTACAAATATTGCTTGTAAAGTAGTAAAGAAGAACTCGTAAAGAATAGCTCGTAGAATAATTTCTGTATGGTTGATGTAAAGATAGACATGATGTCTGTATCAAGAAAGGAATGTAATATTGTTATGGGAGGGTCCCTTGAGCACTGTTTTGATACCTAGTTGATAATCTTGTGAATCTACACTTTCATTGTCAATTAAATAATGGAGTGTGTCATTTTCTAAATGGGAAGCCGGAACAGGATGTAGCAATTTTTTGTTTACCACAAAAATGGTGAAATATTGTAAGAGAACCGAAAGAGAACCAGCTCAGCAATGCTGTTCAGAAGCCACAATGGAAGTGGTTTTCCTCACATAATTGGGAAGAGGCCATAGCCTCTTGATTTTGGGAAGAATTATCTCTAAAATTGCTAATTTTGGAAGTCAAAAAATGCTGGTGTAAGTTCAGATTTTTTGGAAAAACTGCATGATTTTCGAGAAAATTTGAATTGGGAAGAGGCCTTTAATTGTCCTTTGTTATGTAAGGTGAAAAATCACCGAGTGCATTGTGAGAATTTACACACAGAGGAATTTGCGGAACCTAAGTGATAAATAAAAGTGCTTTGAAATCATTCAGTTGTGTGCTTTCTTCTTTAGGTTATTCTCATCTAGTTGACGGAAGCACTAATGCTGCTCATCCACATTTTCAGCATTGTGAACTCTTCTGAGCAGAAAAATGCTTTATTATTGAGCAAGAAACAAAGAAATCACCAAATTACATGCTTATTAGTCCATAACTGATATTTATTTAAAGAAAAAGCCTGTTCTGAGAGCCCTAGCCTTGTTAGTAGACATTTTGCAAGACTGCATTTTTTGCTTCATTTGACAGCCAAGATTATTTTTATGAAAGTTTCGGAGGAAATTTACATAGCAAATAGTGCCCTAGGAAAGACAGTTATTCAATTTTCCACAATTTCCTACGCAGTAATTTCGTAAAATTTGCATAAAGGGTTTAGTAGAAGCTTATTATGGAAGCATTGTAGAGAAATCTCGAATTCGGCATTCTTCTATCTAAAGAAACAGGGGAAATGTTCAATTTTATCAGAAAGACCGTGGGTTATAGATTTAATTTAAATTTCAATGAATGTTAAAAAAGCACCGCAGGGCTTATGATGGTATACAATTGTGAAGCAGCTTGTCAATTGAAGCAGACAGAGTTTAGCTGCAGGAGCAGAATACCTAGACTAGTTTTAACCTTCACTGTAATTTTATTTATTTCAATTTCACAAATTTAGAAACTTTTGTTTATGGTTTATTATTTATGTTTAGATTTGATTTTGAAAAGATAATATGGGTGGTACTGACAGTGTGAAGTTCTTAACAATTTTAGAATTTTTTTTTTTTTTCATAATTTTGTGAACAAATTTTTTTATTTAGACACTTGTTTTATAAATTTATCCTGATTCTTAATATCAAAATGCAAGAATTCCCCTTCACAAAACATAGCCAATATAATTTCTGTACAATATCCCCAGTTCAGGATTTCCTCATGTAAGGAAGCTATCCAGCTAGCTTAATATTTATGGATGGTCGGTGGTTGGTTGAGTGCCAGCTTCCTCTCCTTTGTCTTCCTCAACCAGTTGAGCTTATTGGTAGTTGGTGTTTGGGTGCCCCCTTCTTTTTCTTGGTCTCCCTCAACCAGTTGAGCTGATGGATGGTCTAGGGTATCCGCTTGTGCCTTAAGTTTTCCTCTGACAGTCAAGTTGGAGACTCATTAAAGCAACCTTAACAGAGAATGTGACTTAACACAGAAAAGAAAAAAGAAAATATTCCTGTACTAATATATACATTAATGCTTATATAACAATTTATCTTGAATGGTGTGAACTAAAGAGCCTCCTTTGATAATTGAAAGTCTCTGAAAATTTTTTTCTTGGAAATAGATTTTCAAGTACAGTGACTTGTCAACTTCTTTCTTTGTAGGTCACTAGAGTAATGTAATAAGTAGAGTGTGAGATATTCTGAGAAAATTGAGAAAAAAGTATTTATTTTTCCTTCTTGAAGTAATTGGAGACTGACATACTCATAACATTTAACAAAATGTAATATAATTATAGAGTTTATATGAACTCGGGCTACAAGATACAACTAGTATATCTGAACTTTTTTGTAGTTAACCATAACATGCTGAATTTCTTTTACGGCTTTCATATTTGTAAAATGGCTGTTAACAATTTCTGGGATTTCAAGATTTGAAAATTTTGACAATTAGAAATTGTTAAGCCAATAGTATACAGAGCCAGGATAGACAACAATATGGAGCCTGGTCAACTACACAGGCAACTGATAGCTAAAGCTAAGGACGGCCTTTGTGGCTAAATGATTAAAGTCAGTGAATTCGAATCACTAGCCTTTCTCTGCTGACTTGGTACAAATCTTGACAGAAACTTTGAATTGTTTCTGTTGGTCAGCAAAGCTGTCAAGCTAGCGTTATGAATGGTTGGTGGTTATACTAAAACTACCCAGATGAGCTCCTCTTTCACCAGTTTAAAAGACAGTATTTGCGCCATAATTATGACCTTTAGAGTATTGGTGTGATTCATAAAAAAATTTTTAATTACAAATGGATGAAAATGGATATTTTATGCCATATACATATGTCTGAATTTTGTTGTTTAAACTAAATATTGTTATTTTAATATATTTCAGGCTGAAATATTACAGAGTGCTCAAGCCCTGTCCCTTACCACAGCTGTACCAGATGAGGTGAGTTTCTATCTTAAATGCAATCATATCTGATGATATGTAAAATAAATTGTTCACTTTTTGAGCTTCATTTACAAAATTACAACCAGATTTGATTAATATATAAAATGTAAAGAAGTTGTTCAATTTTCGAGTTCAAGTGAATTTCAGTTGAGCTCAAAAAGTGAACATTTATTTTATATTTTGTAATACTATCATTTTGCTGTCCCAATGATTTCTAGTAATGCAAAAGAATAAATATTAAGTTTATATGATATAAACTTTGCACAAAGGAAGTCGAGCATTATGTCTCTTTATCGGATAATACATCAACTTTTGCTTGCGTGGTAGATTTTCAATTTTATTAAAAAAAATTTAAAAGTCATTTCAGTGTTTACGAGTATCATTTTTTGATAAAAAAAATGTTAACTTGTCTTTAAAAAATGATTTATTGAAATTCTAATCATGTTAAAATTCTATTACGGAAATAAACATGAATAAATATTTTTTATGAAAGTAACACAAGTTGTTCTTGGCATATTGACTGGAATATAAAACAGCAAGAAAAAAAAGGTTTCCGCGGAAATTTGATTTGATTTCGAGATGAAATGAGCTATTTTATCGCAAAACGCAGATTCAGGAGGTGAAATAAACAATTAAGTTGTTTCAGACAAAATCATGTACATGTCTGCCGTTTGAACAAGATTTACTCAATAAAAGCGACTATATAATAGGATAGTGTATAAAACATGGTTTTGTCAGCCTCTAATCAGAGACATAACCGACGTGTAATCGATACGTATTCTGGAAAAACATGCAATTTTCATCTACCATTTGCATGTCTCTTCTTGTATTTTGTTTCGCAATCAAAACTAGGTAATTCTAGCCTTTTCTTATGTAAAGACTTCATTTCCGTGTGATTGGGTTTTACATTATTCATACTACGGGGTTATTTTCTTCTTGGTTTTCAAAACGGGGAGTCTGTTTCTCTAGGCTTTTAATGGGCTGTTTTGCTTTCAAATTATAGAGGCAAATAACTTCTTCAAATAGAGGCCAATTGTGAGTTTGACGTGCCTTCGTGAGTTAATTGATTCTTCGCATGCATGCAATTGTTTACGGTAAATCTTGGTCGAGTTTGCGGCGTAATGGAGGTTTTTTGAACGGCAATTTCAAACCATTTTGAATCGGGAATGGCGTGACTGGAGAATATCATGAAATATTTTGTGTTCTCATCGTAGAACTTGTTGCGTTGTGTAGTTATAAAGTAGAATGGATGCCGACTTTATGGGCCTATTATATTTAATATTAGGATATGAAGCCGTTGAAGAATGAGTCAGATTATTACCAGATTAATGTCATTTTGCCTGCATATTAATATTATCGTAAGGATTTTTAAACGGGCGGTCATGAAAGTGACAGGTGGGAAAATTATGTAAATAATTCAGCCTCCATTGTTTGTGTGTCTGCTGGACAGAATTATTGATCTGAAATTATGCAACAATTGATGGAACGCGTTGAATTACCTGTAATTTGGTTACATAGAATGCACTGTAATGATCCTGATTGATCTGTATCGTTTTATTGCAATTTTAGATTTCGTTCATATATAATTTACAGGTGTGAAGATATTATAATGTTTTAATGGTGAAAAAGTAAATTTTTAGTTTTCAGTATTGTAATTGTATGCACACTGGTGGGACGAGAAACAAAAATTAGAATTTTGTAATATTCTTTTCAAAAAGTTAAAACTTTTGTCATTTGACAAATTATAAAATTTAACAATCTTGTTGATCAACTTAAGAGATGGTTACGGTCCATGGAGATGTTACTTCACGTCTATTACTGCAACAAGTACTAAATGTTCTTGGGTTAGGTAATTAGTAAGCATAACCGGTGATTAAAGTGTCGAATTCTCTCAATTTAACAAATTGTGACAGGACAGTATAGTCCCTGGAGGCTTGAAATAAACACCAAAAATAGCCGAGATTGTAAAGTGTTCAAGTATGGTGTAACCAAAGTATAACTTCTGGTATGTTATTATACCGCAAGATGTAATCCACTGCAAAGTAATTGACTTGGTCGCTGGGAAAATTTTGGTTTTGAAGTGAGAAAAAAAAATCTTTGCAATTCTTCCACACATTATACTGTTTAATCTGCGTATTATTCTTATTATTCAATCAGACGAGAAGTATCTTTGTTAGATGACCTTGAAAACAGCAGAAAGAGTATGAAACACCATGACTGTTTAGTCCTAAAGTGAAGTTAGACTCTCTTTTTTCTGTCAGTTCGAAGTGAATTTGTTACATATTTTTCAAAAGGTTGACTTTATAGTTGTGATTCATCAATAATTGATAATGAAAAATGTAAAGGATAAAATATAACCACCACCTAGGTTCTAAAAAATGTTAAAAATTTACGTTGCCGATACATTCAGAACAATGTTTATAGAAATTTCCTATGGTCACATTGATTATTTATTAATTTTTTTTTGTAGTAAAATATAAAAATTGAACACAATTATGGCAAAAATGTAGTCAATTTGACTTTTAACTTTGCACTCTGATGGCCATAATGTCACTTTCATTGCATAAAATAAGGAATGGCTAACGCAATCTATTCTTGAATGAGAAAAAAGATGAATTAACCAACAAAATAAGTCAGTTTCACATATCGCAGCAGTGTATAAGTTCAGTGTGACCTGATAATACAGCTTAAGCTAAAATGCGATCTATCTAAGTTTTCACCCATCTAGTATAATATTGTTAGTTTCCACTTAAATTGAGCAGATAAATTTCCTCTCATAAAATGAAACTTTCTCAATTTGATTTCTGAAATAAAATGTAATTTAAACAATGCTAAGAAAAATACTAGATGATAGGGAATTAGATTTTGAGAAATGTTTCCTTGGTTGTGATCGATAGCTTGCCATTTGATGTTCGTTCACCATGAAGAAGGCTGTTAAGGAATCCTCGTGTTAAGAAATGCTGGGTTTTATTTTTTAAATTGTAGCAAATTTACCCTACTTTCTAACATGTGTCAGAAGGTCAGCAGTTCAAATGACTTTTGTTATTCTTGGCAGTGAGATATAAGATTATATCAGTGAGATAATAGTTTTATGTCAGTGAGATACAAGATTATATCAAGAGATATTAGGCTATATGAGTTGTAGTGTATTAGTGAGATGTTTGGTTTTGTCAGTGAAATATAATATTGTATCATTGAGATGATAGATTATGTGAGTGATATTATAAAATATATCAGTGAGATAATAGATTATGTCAGTGAGATATTAGAAAATATCAGGGATATTTTAGATTATGTCAGTGAGATAATAGGTTATGTCAGTGAAATATTTAAAAATATCAGTGAGATGTTAGACTATGTCAGTGAAATACAAGAAAATATGAGTCAGATGTCAGATTATGTCAGTGAAATACAAGAAAATATCAGTGAGATGTCAGAGTATGTCAGGGAGATGTCAATTTATTTCAGTGAGATATTTGATATCTTAGTAAGATGTTTGGTTTTGTCAGTGCACCAACAATAGTCAGTCAGTCAGTGAGATACAAGTAGATTACTTTTGTGATATATCCTTTAATATCAGTGAGATAGTAGATTATATCAGTGAGATGTAAGATTTTGTGTATATAAATGAAAAAATAGATATCATTATTGAAATTGAAAAAGATTAGTGAAATATAAGATTATTGTATGTATTTCCAGTCTGTCGAGGCTCGCTTCCAAATCGTTACATGAAATTACAGTTGATTTGTCATGGAACTTGATAATTGGTTGCTGTTGCTGTGTCTTACCATGTCTGAGTCATATTGTGTCGTGTAAATTGTCTGGCGTGAAAAATTTCACTGAAATTGTTTTTATAGTGTGTGTTCTGAACATGTCTCCAAAACATTTTTGTCACCTCTATGCGAGACAATTGTTATTGCGTGAAAAAGCAAATACAACTGTCTCAAGCTGTGGCGATGATTTGTTTTCTAAGATTCTGTAAATAGATCGATTCATTAAGAACAGTTGATGGTTATTTTCCTCGCACCTTCCACCGACTCCGTAAAGTGTAAAACAGATATATACTTGGAAGCTATTACAGAATTAAAGTAATTTTCGAAACCAGACTCTATGTCGTAAATGTGTTTATTTCTTGTACGGACGTCTGTAACATGATTAAAGCCAGCTGTATCTGTGGTTGTAGAGTAACGATACGTGACAATGTCACTGCCATATTAGGCAAGGTTCCGTCTGATCATCGGGATAACCTTCAATGATTAATAAGAAACGATGGCACGAATTAATGAACTTGCCAGAACGGTGATCAAAGAGCCTAAGGGGGAAAGTGAATCTGTCATTAATTTCACTTATTGATGTAGTTAGGGTTTTTTTCTGGCCAGAAAAAAAAATGCAGGGGAAAGGGGGGAGAAAAAAAATATCTTGATGTGTAAGTATGACATCGGACAGTTATGCAGAATCGTCAGAGAATGTTGTAGCCAAGGTTTCAGGGAAACGCTATAGAACGTATATTAGATTGTAGAGTTACGATAGTCTGTATTAATGAAACAAATTGGGCCTCATCAATTGTTTTGTGCTTTTCATGTGTCATGTGATACATTTATAAATAATAACCAGCTTATGAAGAAAAAGAAAACAAACTGACCAGGTTTTGACCATTTTCAAAGGAGCTGTTTTTTTGGAGGGGTTTGGGTTTTTTAAATATACGTGGGTATTGCATGCAGTTAAGGAGACAAATTTACTGAATATGTGCTGCTTTTATGGTTATCTGTTTAAATCCAACTATGTCAGTCTGATCAAGTTTTAGATTATAAGTAAATTCCAAATTTTATATCAGTTTTATGGTTTTTCTGGCGGCAGATATAATGGGAGGCCCAATCTTTGGGTCCACAGCATTACTTTATATCGATCTTGGTAGTAATAATGTATCCCAGCCACTCCCACCTTGACTTTTCTGTGGTAGCTTTTACAGAGACATTTTTATTTCCTAGGAAAAGGTA